GAATCATTGGGATTATAGGCATGCACCATTGTACCCAGCTTGGCTAGTTTCTTTTATTGCTCTCACTCTTTTTAGGTCTAGGGTTTTATTTGTTGCATATTTTGAAACTTTAAGCCAAGTATCCTAAAAACCTGCTACAATTCTTTATAGAGCTTACAGAGGCCAAGCCTGAAAGAGGAGAGGTAATGGCTTTTCAGAATTACCTGGAGAGGCAAACAGTTGGCCTTAGGTCTCCAGGACAGAAGTCTGATTCTAAACTTTTTCATCCACCTCTGGAGATACTCAGAATCCTCCTGACACAGAAAAATCTCCTGTTTCAAAAAGACACTTTCAAGGTGTGATTTATCTGTCAAATCTCAATTAGAACAAGGGTCTTCTCAAATCTCATTTCATTTTACATTTTGAACCTACCATGATGTTTATTATTTTAGACAAAATGAATATGCATAGAGTCTAGTTTTTCTATCTACACTCCAGTGGACCATTTTGTACTCATCTCACCTTGAAACAAATATTCTAACCCTCAAGCAAGCACTTAAGTGTTGACCCTGGAAGTATTCAATGCCTCCATATGCTGTCTTTTGGATGGACACACTACTTCTATCTGGGCCCTAGGTAGAATTCAAACTTTCGTCATTGAGAAAAAATATAACAAAAAAAAAATAAAAGAAACCCTTGTTGTATTTTATTTCCTACATCATATACACCCCTTAACATATTTCTTCCTTAACAACCATTTTTTAAATGCTCTTTCATAGTAGGAGTGATGAGTCAGAATTGTTGTGCTTGCTCCACCTATTAGAATAAGCCAAATGATTTGGGATGGGTTGATCTTGGGTTCACAGGGAGTAATTTGTCTAGGGAGTGGAGGGGATGGACTACAATTTGCATGACCACACAGGACAGATGTTTATTCATAAAGGTTACCTCAAGTGTCACAAGTAATTTCTTGGTTGGACAGTATTAAAAGTCAGCCAAGTGTCCACCCAATGGGCAACTCAGTTCCAGAAGAAATTATGACTGGGATGACAAGAAGCATGAGAGACCAGGATTGGGATATGTGGACAGGCTTAAGTAAGAGGTCTGGAGCCACACTAAAGGGTGTGTGCTCAATGACAGGATGGAGAGGTTGGGCAGAATTACAGAGGGAGGGGACAAACCAGCACTTGGATACTGCTTACTTCTCTGAATCTGAGTTTTTTTTGTTGTTGTTGTTATTGCTGCCATTTGTTTCCTCACTAGAAGAACTGCATTTGCAATTTAATATAAATCTAGAGACTCAGTCACTTTTACAGACCCCACTGCTAATGGACAGAGCCAACATTGAGCAAAATTGCTACATGGAGAATGCTAGAACCTTCCAGCCTTTCTCTTCCTTCCATTGGGACCCTTCCATTTGGGTCTTTCTCTCAATCACATCTTATTTTCTACCTTCAGTGGTTTTCAAAGTGTGGTCATTGGACCAGCAGCATCAGTATCACCTAAGCACTGGTCACAAATGCTAATTCTCAGGCTCCACCCAAACTGGTCAGTGAAGAAACTCTATGATGGGACGACGGAATCAGCAATCTATTTTTTTCAAACCTTCCCTGATTCTGATGCACACTAAAATCTGAGAACTGCTGCTTTAAATGATTTTCAAGATAACTTAAGATTGAGAGCATGGGGCTGGGATGTGGCTCAAGCGGTAGCGCGCTCGCCTGGCATGCGTGCGGCCCAGGTTCGATCCTCAGCAGCACCACATACCAACAAAGATGTGTCCGCCGAGAACTAAGAAAAGATAAATAAATGTTAAAATTCTCTCTCTCTCTCTCTCTGTCCCCCTCTCTCACTTTCTCTTAAAAAAAAAAAAAAAGATTGAGAGCATGCACCTTTTAGGAGAGGACTTATAAAGAAGATAAGCCACTCAAGTGAAAATGGAAATTTTCTAGTAATGGAATTTCCTGTCACATAAAGAAAGACAGTGAGAGATTCAAGGCCACTATATTCATTCAGACTTTCACTATCCCTTCCCTTTCATCTCACCTATATCAATCTTCTCTCCATATTGCCACTAGAGATGTATGCTCAGTGGGAAAACCTGACCCTATCAAATCCCAATTTAAAACCCTTCAGTCACTGCTCCCTACCCATAGAAAGGCCCAAGCCCCTGGCACACAACCCAAAGTCCTTCATTATCTGCCGCTGGGCCACATCCCTGACCTTGTTTCCTTCTGTACCTTCCCACATACTCTGTCACATTTTTGCTATCTGCAGGAAGCTTACACTTCCTCATACCTCTGACATTGGGCTTGACCATGTGATTGACCTTGGCCAACGGCATGAGAGCTGAAGGGACAGCTGCCACTTCTGAGCAGACTTGAAGTGTCATAGTTTTGTTCTGTCACTTTCTCTCTTTTCCTTTGCCATAATGAGATTAGCATTGTCCCAGAGAGAGGCTCTTTTATAAGCTCAGTGGGTCCCTAAATATAAATAGATGAGGACAGAACTAAAATTGACCTACTCTGGACATGCGGATCTTTGGGGGTTATTTGTTCTTTAGCCTAAGCTGACCATGGATATTTTGGTCATTCTTCTTTCTGGATGTCTTCTCTCTTCTACTCTATCCTTTCCAATTCCACTGCAGCCCTAGTTTCACAAAAGACTTGCTCATCATTTGACACTCAGTACCTCTCAATCAGGACTTTATCTTGCCTAGGTGTAACTGATTACTCTCACTTTTAAAACCTCCTTTAGATGCTACAGATCAGTAACTATGTCCCCAGAACTAGGCTTCCCATCTATTAACACTATACTTAGGATCCACTAAAATAAGAATAAATGTGAGTCTTCACTTGACAGAGCAAAGAGATTTTGGCTCTAAGAAATGAAGCATTTTGTTCAAGTTTCCCAGCCTCAGTCAGAGCCTGAATTTTCACAGGTGGGGTCGGGGTCTGGCTCTGAACTTGATCGTCTTGTCCTATGCCATATACCTCTCTCCATCCCCAGCAGTGAGTTTTCAGAACAGAGTAAAAGTCTCCTAGTAAACAATTGAAAAAAAAAAAAAAAACCTGTTACATTAATTTGAGACTTATAAGTTTGCATCTCTCTAGAAGTGAGTTTCTGATCTCCTGACCTCTCTTTCTCTAAGTTGATGTATATATTCTAAGACACATAGAAATGACACTGAACAAGAAATGGAGCATTTTGTCTACAACCAGGTCCCAGGCTGCATGGTTAGGGAAGTGTGAAAAGGCAGGCAGATGTAAATGCCATCACCCTAAAGAACCTTTAGGATGGTCCTTATGGGTTTGTCACAGGGTAGAACTCCAAGGAAGTCTGCTACATATTGATATTTTAGGTTTTTAAAAAATGAAGGGGGTCAAATGTTTAATCTTCAGATTAAACAAGGAAAGGAAAATGAAACCATGGCAAAAGACTGGACTAGACCCCCTCAGGTCAGATGCAGGATTAAATGCCTGAGAGTAACAACTGCAATTTCAAGTTTCTAGGAGATGCTGGCATTTTGTTGTGTGGTGCTTTTCTTTTGTTATTCTTTCACTCATTTTAACTCTGCTTATTTGTTCATGGGAACATTAGGAAGTACAAAAACCTAAAAATATCCCACCCCTAATCAGCCATACTAATGAAATATGAGCATTTAACAAACTACAGGAATTTCTTTTTTCATATAATATTCATACTAATTTTTTCAAGGGTTACAAAGCTTTGGTTTCTAGTTGGAGGCTATTTGTGTCAACATCACAATGGAGGAGGTTTTTTTTTTTTTTTTAATATCCTCCTCCAAAGGATATATTACCTTTAAATGATATCATCAGTAACACTAATAATAGCATTTTCTTTTTCTTTCAAGTATAGAAAGCTATTCAGAGATCTAAATGGTTGTTGGGCCAGTTTGGACACATCTGATTTAATTTTTAAAAGTCTATCCACTTCATACAATAAAGCACTCAGTAAATGCTAAGTGCTGGCTCTCTGCTCTGTTTTTCAGACATTGGCTCCTATAATCCTCAAAGCAAGTTTAATCGGTATCGCCACTTTATAAATTAGGAGCGCGAGGCACAGGACATAAAGGGGAGAGGGAAAGAGTGAAAAGGAGAGGGAGGAAGAGAGAGAGGTGGGCAGGGGCCAGTAGCTGCATAACACTATAGTTAATGATTCACTCATAGCCCTCAGGCAGCTCCTTTCAGTAGGGGTTGCACCAGAGCGCGCATACACACACACTTACACACACACACTCACACCACCATCACCACCCCCACCCCCACCCCCCCATC